ATCTCCCTTAAACTTTTCCCCTCTCACCTTGAAATCGTGACCCCTAGTAATTGAGACCCCACTCTGGGAAAAAGCTTCTTGCTATCCACCCTGACTATACCTCTCATGATTTTGTAGACCTCAATCAGGTCCCCCCTCAACCTCCGTCTTTGTAATGGAAATAATCCTAATCTACTCAACCTCTCTTCATAGCTAGTGCCCTCCATACCAGGCAACATCCTGGTGAACCTCCTCTGCACCCTCTCCAAAGCATCCACATCCTTTTGGTAATGTGACGACCAGAACTGTAAGTAGTATTCCAAAGGTGGTCGAACCAAAGTCCTATACAACTGTAACACGACCTGCCAATTCTTGTACTTAATACCCCGTCCGATGAATGAAAGCATGCCGTATGCTGCCTTGACCACTCTATCGACCTGCGTTGCCACCTTCAGGGTACAATGGACCTGAACACCCAGATCTCTCTGCGTCAATTTTCCCCAGGGCTTTTCCATTTACCATGTAGTTCGCTCTTGAATTGGATCTTCCAAAATGCATCACCTCGCATTTGCCTAGATTGAACTCCATCTGCCATTTCTCCGCCCAACTCTCCAATCTATCTATATTCTGCTGCATTCTCCGACAGTCCCCTTCACTATCTGCTACTCCACCAATCTTAGTGTCATCTGCAAACTTGCTAATCAAACCATCTATACCTTCCTCCAGATCATTTATGTATATCACAAACAACGGTGGTCCCAACACGGATCCTGTGGAACACCACTGGTCACAGTTCTCCATTTTGAGAAACTCCCTTCCACTACAACTCTCTGTCTCCTGTTGCCCAGCCAGTTCTCTATCCATCTAGCTAGTACACCCTGGACCCCATGCGACTTCACTTTCTCCATCAGCCTACCATGGGGAACCTTATCAAACGCCTTACTGGAGTCCATGTATATGACTTCTACAGCCCTTCCCTCATTTATCAACTTTGTCACTTCCTCAAAGAATTCTATCAAGTTGGTAAGACATGACCTTCCCTGCACAAAACCATGCTGCCTATCACTAATAAACCCATTTTCTTCCAAATGTAAATAGATCCTATCCCTCAGTATCTTCTCCAGCAGCTTCCCCACCACTGACATCAGGCTCACTGGTCTATAATTACCTGGATTATCCTTGCTACCCTTTTTAAACAAGGGGACAAAATTAGCAATTCTCCAGTCCTCCGGGACCTCACCCGTGCTCAAAGATGCTGCAAAGATATCTGTTAAGGCCCCAGCTATTTCCTCTCTTGCTTCCCTCAGTAACCTGGGATAGATCCCATCCGGACCTGGGGACTTGTCCACCCTAATGCCTTTTAGATTACCCAACACTTGTTCCCTCCTTATGCCGACTTGACCTGGAGTAATCAAAAATCTATCCCTAACCTCAACATCCGTCATGTCCCTCTCCTCAGTGAATACCGACGCAAAGTACTCATTAAGAATCTAATACACCAAGTTATTGGGCTGTAGGGATACCCACAATGTTCTTCGGGAGGTAGTTCGAGGATTTTAATGCAGCGACACTGAAGGAACAATGAAACACAGTCACTTCTCGTTATTTGCAAACCTACGTATTCACCATGGGGTCAGCTCAGTATCTCATTTTATTGTTTCTCATCAAGCCATCAGAGTCTGATCTTGCAGCCCTTCACAATACATAAAGGAGAGTTACATGCTAGCAGTGTCTATATTTTCTGTTATCTACAGGACATTCATGTCCCTGTCCTCCACAGATAACAAGGATTTGGTGTATTTCCAAGTCAGGATGATGAATGGCTTGGAGGGGAACTTGTAGGTGGTGTTCCCATTTGTCTGCTGCCCTTGTCCTTTTAGATGGAAGTGGCTATGTGTTTGGGAGGTGCTGTTTAAGGAGCTTTGGTGAAGTTCTGCAGTGAATCTTGTAGGTAGTACACACTGCTACTACTAAGCATTAGTGTTGGAGGGAATGAATTTTGTGGATGTGGTGCCAATCAAGTGGGCTGCTTTGTCGTGGATGGTATCAAGCTTCTTGAGTGTTTTTGGGAGTTGCACCTATCTAGGCAAGCTGGCAGTATTCCATCACACTCCTGACTTCTGTCTTGTAGATGGTGACAAGCTTTGGGGAGTCAGAAGGTTAGTTACTCACTGCAGTATTCTTAGCTTGTGACCCATTCTTGTAGCCATTATATTTAGAAGGCTAGTCCAGTTTGGTTTCTGGTCAACAGTAACCCTGGAAGTCTCTCCCTCCAGAAAACTGTTGAGGCTGGAGGTCAGTTGAAGTTTTATAACTACGACTGATAGACTTTATCAGGTAAAGAGATTAAGGGTTATGAAACCAAGTCAATAGATTTTAGTTACTTTTTGTTCCTCTTCTCTTTGGCATAAACCTATCAATCACACACAGATTGGTGAAAGAACAATGTGAGTTCTTTATTTGAAGATAAGGCTATACACAGACAGAGTTAACTGGAAAACTCAGTATGGAATATCTGATCTTCATTCTTTGCTGCTTCCAGACTGACCACAAGCCGTTGTTGGACTAACACATCATTTCCTGTGAAAGATGTGTGATTGACTGACAGCAGTTTGATTTACCCCTTTAAAGGTGCATGCACATCATATCACAACCAGCTACCAATCAGCCGTGATCTCATTGAATGGAGAAACAGGTTTGAGGCGCTGAATAGCCGTCGGTTGTTTCCATTTTTTGCAATATAATGAGAAGCATGTGTACAGAGAGAAATATAAGGGAGGATCAAAAGATGAGCAATAAAAAGAAAAACTAAGGAAAAGGGAGGCCCGAGGGAGTGAACTGCATTGGAATGAGATTAAGAGCATAAGAACAGCATAAGCAGGAGTAGGCCATTCAGCCTGTCAAGCCTGCACTGCCATTTGATGTGATCATGGCTGATCTCAACTCTACTCTGTAGCCACTCCCCATATTTCTTTTAACCCATTACTCATTAAAAATCTGTCTCTCTCCTCCTTATATTTACTCAATGTCCCAGCATCCATTGCAGTCTAGTGTAGTGAATTCCACGCATTCATGATTTTTCAGAAGTAATTCCTCCTCAACTCTGATTTAAATCTGCTATCTCTTGTCTTAAATCTATGTACTCTATTTCTAGATTGCTACACCAGTGGAGACATGCTTTCTACCTCTACTTTGTCAATCCCCTTTCGCATCTATATACCCCGTTAGATCTCATCTCATTCTTGTCAGCGCCAGAGAATATGGGCCGAAACTGCTCAATCTCTCTTCATCTCTGCAATTGATGTAGTGAACCTTCTCTGAACTACCTCAAATATATTTGCATCTTTGCTCCTTCTGTTCCAGAGCAAGCCATTTTGATAGTGAAGGACCTGATGGATGTGGAGGTGACAGCCCCTGACGCAATCCAGTTGGAATGTGAGGTGTCAGTGCCCGTGATCAGAGCCCCTCAGTGGAGCCTGAATGGACAGCTCCTTCGGAACGGGGATGGGGTCCACATGGAAAACAGAGGTACTATCCAGCGGCTGATCCTCAGCAACACCTCCCCTGACATGAGTGGAGTGGTGAAATTCACTGCAGGGAAGGCAAGCTGCAGTGCTAAGCTCACCGTGAAAGGTAAACCTCAACAGGGAGAACTGAACAACTGACATTTACATTGCACATTTGAAGTGTTAAGAACTTGTGGAAAGCGTTAATGGGATTGGACAAAGCCACCGTGGGCTTACAAAAGGCAAATCATGCTGAACAAATCTACTGGAGCTTTTTTGAGGATGTAACAAGTAGAATAGATCAGAGACAACCAGTATATTTAGATTTTCTGTCAGTATTTGATAAGAGCCTTCATAAGAAGTTAGTGGGAAAAGTTAAAGGAGATGGCTAACCTATCACATGGATCAAGAACTGGATGACAGACAGGAAACAGTGTGGGAATAAATGGATCTTTTTCTGAGTGACAGGCAATGAATAGTCGATCAGTGTTCGTGCCCCAGCGATTCATTATATGTATAATATGTGTGTTTGTATGGATATATTTTATATATATATATATATATAAAAATATATATCTGTGTGTATGTGTACATATATATGTGTGTGTGCATGGGTGTGTATGTGTGTATATAATCATAGATATAAATTACAGAATGAGGGAATCAAATGCAGCATTTCCAAGTTAGTTGACGACACGCAACTGGGTTGGGTTGGGAGGAGGGTGCAAGAAGACTTATGATAAGTTGAGTGAGTGGGAAAATACATGGCAGATGCAGTACAGCATAGTTAAATGTGAAGTTCTACACTTTGGTGTGGAAAAACAGAAAGGAAAAGTGTTATGTATGTAGTTGGGTGTGTGTTGCCCCTTTAAGAAAGCCAGTCAGGTGATCCAGAAGCAGGAGTGAGGGGAGGCAGTCTAAAACTGCCCGCGGAGCTGAGAGACCGACAATACAGTATTCCCTGTTCAAGTTACCCTTCATCTACCTCATGTTCTCTTTAATGGTTCTGGTGAACCACAAACATAACTGGCAACAAGGATGGAATCTGGCCCACAAGCTGTACAAACACCATTCATTTTGTCAGGAGGAAGTATTTTGCCTAGACTTCAAAAAACTGGGATTATGAGGTAACACTGAGTGAAATGGTCGCAAACAGACATGGCCTGCAGTCAACACTGGCGAGGAATGGTACACATTGGAGAACGGGCCAAGAGCAGCAGCCATGAGGGGACTCTGGTCACAGCTGACGTCTGAAGAGAGGAGAACTCACCCAGGAGCTTACCGGAGTGCATAAAATAATGGATACTCAGCAGAGTTCGCTACACTAAAGACTGCCGCTGATGTGGCAAGAGTGGCCACAAGGAAGCAACGTATTAGACTTGATAAGCCCAGTGCCACATGTGTAAGTGAGTGGGCCATATTCTCCAAAATTGCTGGGTACAACTCAAGCAAGAGAAGTGGTATCAAAAGGAGACAATTCAAAGGACAAGGCATAAGGTACATGTTGCCAGCCAGGGAGTAGACGGGGAGACAGCCAAGTCTACAGGAGAAGCAGAAGGCCCAGAGTCAGCAGAGTTTTTATTCATTCAAGGGATGAGGGCATCACTAGCCAAGCAACATTTATTGCTCATCCCAGAGGGCAGTTAAGAGTCAACCATATCGCTGTGGGTCTGGAGTCACATGTAGGCCGGGGAAGGATGGAAGTTTCCTTCCCTAAAGGACATTAGTGAACCAAATGAGTTTTTCCAACAAATGGCAATGGATTCATGGTTATCATTAGACCCTTAATTCCAGATTTGGTTAACTTGGTTAAAAATCCTGTTGGTGTGGGATGAAGCTGATTATTAGAGGATAAGACAGCAAGTATGGAGAAAAAACCAAAGAACTCCAGAACAGAAACTCCTGCTAGAGAAACTTAGCAGGTCTGGCAGCATCTGTGGAGAGAAAGCAGAGTTAATGTTTCGGGTCCAGTGACTCTTTTTCAGAACTGATTGTAGCTGGAAACTGTTGGTATATAATGCTAAAAAAGGGGTGAGGGAGAGGAGAGGAGTAAATGATAGGTGGAGATGGATCCCAGAGAGAGAGAGAGAAATAGCTGGGCTGACAAAGGAATGGGTAACAATCAACCTGGGAGAATCTGTAACTGCTAAGGGGCACTTGTAGTGGCTGACAATGGGTTGTTTGTGGTAACAGCCCAAGTGATAACAAGATCTGACGTGTGGGGATTGGGGTAAGGACATGGGCAAAGTGCTGAAGCCCTAAAATTGTTGAACTCAATATTGAGTCCAGAGGTGGCAGAATTCCCAAATGGAAAATGAGCTTTGCTGGAGCGCTACAGCAAGCCTGAGACCAAGATGTTGGCCATGGAAAATGGTGGTGTGTTGAAATGGCAGGCAAATGGAAGCTCAGGGTCATTTTTACAGATAGCACATATGAGTCTTGCTAAGTGGTTCCCTAGTCTGTGCTTTGTTTCCCCATTGTGAGCAGCAAATACAGTGGACTAGATTGAATGAGGTGCAGGTAGATCGCTGCTTCACCTGGAAGGTATCTCTGGGGCCTTAGGTAATGAGGAGGATGGAAGTAAATGGCAGGTGTTAAACCTTCTGCAGTTGCATGGGAGGGTGCTGTTGAGGAGATGTTGGGAGTGAAAGAGGAGTAGATTAAGGTGTCCTTACAGAAAGCTGACAAGGGAGTGGAGGGGAATATATGTCAGGTGGTAGCATCTTGCTGGAGGTGGCGAAAATGGCAGCTGATGATCTTTTATGTGGATGCTGGTGGGATGGTAGGTAAGGACAAGGGGAACCTATCACTGTTGTGGGAGGGAAGAGAATGGGTGAGAGGCGAAGTGCTGTAGATGGGTCAGACACAGCTGAGGGCCCTGTCAACTGTAGTGGTGAAGAATCCTTGGTTGAGGAAGAAGGTGGATATTTCAGAGGACCCCTTGTTGAAGTTGGCATCATCGGAACGAATGTGACGGAGACGGACGAACTGGGAGAATGGAATAGAGTCCTTACAGGAAGCAGGGTGTAAGGATGTTTGGTCAAGGTAACTGTGGGAGTTGGTGGGTTTGTAGTGGATATTGGTGGCCAGCCTATTCCCAGAAATGAAATCAGAGATTTAAGGACCAGGTGATAGTGAGAGCAGGTGCAAATTGGATGCAAATTAGATAAACTTTTTCACTTCCAGATGAGAGAGTGAAGCAGCATTGATGATGTAATTGATGTACCAGAGAAAGAATTGTGGTTGGAGGCCAAAGTAGAACTGGAACAGATATGTAAAGACTCTATTCAATTCACTGAACTGCCATTGAAGCCTGCCAAGATTACACTAGGGACAAACACAGAACAAGTGGTGCCACTGAAGGGCTATGTACTGGTAAAAGTGCAGCTAAGAGACCGATGTGCCAAACTGCCTCTGTACACCATGAAAGGCAAATACCCTGCATTATTTGGATGCTCCTGGTTTCAGAAATTAAAGGTAAATTGGGGTGTGGTGGACTCAAAAACGAGTTTGTAGAGATTTTGGATGTGTATAAAGATGTCTTCAGGGGGATCCCTGGGGGAAATGAATGGCGGAGAAACTAAAGTTCGGTTAAAGTACGAGGCTCATTCAAAGAATCTGAAGGCGCATCCGTACTGTATGCCATCCGACCTAAAGTGGAGCAGAACTGAAATGGCTAGTAAGCCTGAGAGTGTTAGAAGCATAACTGCCAGTGTATGGGCCATCCGTTCATTCCTGTCTTAAAAACATATGGTGTGCTGAGAATTTGGAGTGACCTTAAGGTCACAATCAACCCAGGCCTGTGTGCGGATCAATACCCACTTCCACTCATTGAGGATCTGTTCAGTGAACTGGCTGGGGGAAAGAAATTCTCAAAAACGGATTTGTTGCAGGCCTATTCACAGATGGGTGTCACAAAGGAACTGCTTGCGATAGTGATACACGGGGTACTGTTCTGCTACAAGCAACTGCCTTTTGGCATCATGTCAGTGTAGACTGTATTCCAGAGGGCCATGGACCACATTTTGAGTAGATTGACAGGTGTCCAATATTATCTGGATGATACTTGGTTACTGGATCCTCTGTAGAGGAGCATTTGAAAAACCTAGAAGAAACCCTAAAAAGGTTGCAAGAGGATGGCCTCAAGTGAAAAGAGAAATGCAATTTTTTTAAAGACTCCATAGAGTATCTGGGTCATTTACCTGGCTTACGCAAGGCACCCAAGAAAAAGGAGGCTATCATGAAGGCCCCCAGACCAGAGATTGTCTTGGGACTAGTAAATTACAATGTGTCTGATCTGGCAACTGTGCTAAAACCCCTGCATCAGTTGCTGGGGAAAGGGAAGCCACAAGTATGGACCCAGTAATGTGAGGATGCTTACCAGGACTGAAACAAGCCTTAAAAAGGTTGGGAGTGTTGACTCATTTCAATCCAAAGTTGCCACTGCAGTGACATCTGATGCTTCACCTTTTGGGGTCAGTGCTGTACTCTCACACATCTTGCCAAACAAAGAAGAAAGGCCCATTGTGTTTGCTGCACAATCACTCATGAGGATGGAGGAGAAGTACGCCCAAGTGGAAAAGGAAGGATTGGGCATCATGTTTGGTGTTAAAGAAATTCACTTATTTCCTTTCTGTCAGGAAATTCGTGTTGCTGATAGACCACAGGCTGCTAACCTTTTTGGCTGTTATACAGGAATAATGTCAACGGTGGCAGCACACCTGCAGAGATGGGCACTGACTGCCAGTCTACTCATGAAATCAATACTGACAGAGGAGCACAAAAATGCAGATGCTTTGTCAAGGTTACTACTACCTGTACATAAGGATATTCCTGATTTGAACCTGAAAATTATATACTTTCCTCAGGAAGACAAGGTACCAGTGTCAGCGAATCAGGTGCAGAACGCTACCCGGAATGACCTGGTCTTGAACCTAGTGGTGGACTTGGTCCTGAGAGGAAGGACTTCTCATAGAAATCACCCAAATTTACACCCTTACCTGCCCAGGAGATGGGAGTTGTCCATATCAGATGGTTATTTAATGTGGGGAATGTTATCCTTCCCTAATTAGGAGGAAAGGCGCTGGAACAAGTGCAGCCAGGGCATGCTGGCATGGTGTGAATGAA